GGAATAATCTTCCTGGTATATATATATATATATATATATATAATAAAAAATTATATCTAATTCTAAATAATATAAAAAATTATAATAGTCTATCAACAACTTGAAAATAGCACTGGTTTGTTGTAACATTTGTTTTAAAAAGCAAAAATGTAATTAAATAAAAGTGAAATAAGGAAATAAATACATGATTTGCAAATAAATACATTCAAAATTCAATACTATAATAAATAATAAAATAATAAAAAAATGAATTTGAATATTGTATTTGTTTACCTGCATGTCATGTGAACATTAATCGACATCAGAGAACCAAGAAGATGCCAATGTGTTGTTAAATTATTGAAATATTAACTTTAAATCTCTAGAGGGACTTCAAGAAAATATTTTGGCTCAAAGAGGTTCTACAGAAACACTTAACACAAATACAATATGATATGCAAATACAAAGCATGTGGTTTAATTCAGAGTCCCGCTTTTGTGTTGAAAGATCCCATCATCCTTTAGTAAATGCACATTAGCGTAAAAATGAAACTACATTTATGATATCTTGGTTGTGAGATTTTTTTTTGCAGATGCGATAGTTATATAATACTCCATGTTTGTGTGTGAATATATACATTAAGTTTCTCCTTGAGATTTGGGGTTCAGTACATCATGAGCTGATCGCAGGACATGGCTTTAATGAGGAGGAAGAGTGAAGTGAAGTATAAACCAGACAAACGCCGCAGGCCGATCTCTGTCTATCAGTCTCGAGGTCTGTATAAGTGATCATCAGTCTGCCCTGACGCACACTAACAAGTGAACGACCCGCTGACTTCTGATCCAAATGGATTTTGATCCGGACTTCATTTGCCTGCCGTGTGTCAGTCGCCTCTGGGAGATTTAGATAATATCATAATCTGATCACATCACTCACACACACACAGATTCAAATATTACACCGTCTTTCTGTCCTCACAGAAATAGTTCAGAAATCAAAAGTATGTCATTGTATAGAACTCCAAAAGTGTGTGTGTGTGTGTGTGTGAGTGTGAGTGTGTGTTAGAGAGAGAGAGAGAGTGTGTGTGTGTGTGAGAGAGAGAGAAAGACAGTGAGTGTGTGTGTTAGAGAGAGTGTGTGTGTGTGTTAGAGAGAGAGAAAGACAGTCAGTGTGTGTGTGTGTGTCTGAGTGTGAGTGTGTGAGTGTGAGTGTGTGTTAGAGAGATCGAGTGTGTGTGTGTGAGTGTGAGTGTGTGTGTGTGTGTTAAAGAGAGAGAGTGTGTGTGTTAGAGAGAGAGTGTGTGTGTGTGTGAGAGAGAGAGTGAGAGAGTGAGTGTGTGTGTGTGTTTAGGCAGCTCATCTGCAGAGCTGCATTAAAGATCTATTCCTCTCACTAACCCGAAGAGCAAACAGAGAAACGCCTCTGAATGCCGAAACACTGGAAGCGTTTCATCTCCACTGCGCTAGAGAGAGAGACAGAGACGCACAGGAGAGATCTGAGTCTGTGAAATACACAGCTACATTATCACACTGAATAAGAGCAGAGTTACAGAGTTACATCAACGATATCTGACCGCTCTGAGTTTGACTCTATAATCATCACACGGCCCTGCATCATATCTGATGAATGAAATCCAACAATGGTTTCTGACTCATTTTGAGCTGCTGATTTAAAAAATAGTGGTTGTTTTACTCTCTCATGTCACACTTTCTCACTCAAAATGATGCATTTTGTAGCATTTTGCTTTTGAGAATAACTTGTGCAGTGAAGAAGTCTTGAATTCTCCATTAGCAGAAAATCAGCCAGATCACAATTATTTTATCCATTCTCAGCTCAGATCACATTATTTGACGCATAATCCTGAATTACAGCCAGAGACAGAAGAAAATACAAACATGACTCGAGCCTGATGTTTTCTGCTTTCACTGCATCCAAACACACACATTGCAGATTTTGTGAGAAAAGCTTATTTATTTAGTTCTCTGACATCAAATGGAGTATTTGAACATCTTTAACTCATTTGCAGATTGCGAGTTAAATGATACATTTAGATTTTTTGTTGTTGTTGCTAAGCAGTTGATAGGGTGTTCTGGGTGGTTACCAAGGTGTTTCTAGGGTGTTTTGGGTGCCAGGGTGTTGCTAAGCAGTTAATAGGGTGTTTTGAGTTTGGGGGAGGGGGGACCTGTTATTTATTTTGTAAGGTTATTTGACATTAAATGGAGTATTTTAACATATTGTAATTTATTATTATTATTACTCTAGGTGTTGTAGGATGTCTTTTTTGTTTGACATTTGACTGCTTTTGTTATTTTAAAAAGTGCATTAAAGCATGCATATATATATATATATATATTCTTATTTTGTGAAAAAACTATGATGGAAAGTTTTTACTGATATTTTTTAACTCAGCATCATCAAATCAGATAATATTAGGTCTTTTTTGCAAATCAGAATAATTTTTTCTAAAATACCGGTCTGCGTCATCCGTAATTTTGACTTGTCACACACACACACACACACACAGGTGAAAAAACTATGATGGAAAGTTTTTACTGATATTTTTTAACTCAGCATCATCAAATCAGATAATATTAGGTATTTTTTGCAAATCAGAATATTTTTTTCTAAAATACCGGTCTGCGTCATCCGTAATTTTGACTTGTCATGGTCTGCTGGTTTTAATTTTCACTGATAATTATACAGCCGAACGCCCGTCCATTTGTGTATGCAAATGTGATATAGTCTTCATATTGCTGATATTGTTATTTCCATATCCAGAGAAGTTTGACCTGAGTATTTCAGCTGAAGTAACCCAGCACTCACGGTTAGTTTTCTGTGACGTTCATGCTTTGGTTTGCCGTGTGTCTGTGTCACTGTCAGTGTTGCAGGAGTGAAGCGTGATTCGGCGAGTGTTCCTGTGTCACATGTGTGGATGTTCTCAGACGTGTCTGTGGCGTCATTAGAGACACTCTAAACTGACATGTAAGGTATGCTTTTAATGTCTCGGGTGTAATATTTCTGTTTCAAACAAGAATATTGAAGTTTAGCATCAGTCCAGTAAACTGATAAAAAATTATATGATCGATAAATCATGGCAACGTGTGTTTTACAGTAACATTATACAGTAAAGTCACAAGTTTTCTACTTTTATTACATTTTGTCAAAAAATCCAAAGAAACAATACCACATACAAAACAATACAGTAACATTGTGTGTGTGTGTGTGTGTGTGAGAGAGTGTGTGTGTGTGTGTGTGAGTGTGT